TCTTCCTTAGAAACCTAGAATCTAGCCATAGGGTTTTCCTATTGACTATTCCTAGAAGACTAGTAAAGGAACCCTCGCTATTAGAGATTCTAAGAACTCTTCTTTTCTCATCTTGAAGTTCCACATGTTGGTTTTAAACTCTAGCACTTAGTAGGTGGAGCCAATATGGTAGAGCTCAAGAGGAGTCTCCTTAGGATTGTTTGGCCTAAGGGCCAGCCCTTGGTGGTGTGGTCTTGGTCAATCTTGCACACACACTTGATACCCCTCACTTGCACTCACAACCTCAACTCTTAACTTAGTGATGTCTAGCTTGATCTTGATCCCTTATTAGCTTGATCCCTTATTCTTTTGGAAACTCATGTGGATGGTCCCCTAAACCATTAGCCCTAGGCTAGGGTTTGGCTAAGACCAGCACATGGAGGATCCAAAATGGGAGTTCCGTTGGTCTCATGGCTCAAAAAGAAGGGTAATTTTATGATTAGCATCCTCAATTGATCTCATCCTACATAAATACCCAATTTAGCCTTTTGCCCCCAAACTTCCTCAAAACTACCAAATTGCCCCTGAAACCCTAAATTTTCCCAAATTACCCAAACTACCCAAATTTGTCCAAAAATCATCTCAAACGCTTTTAAGTCACTCAAATTGCCAAAACATTCCAAAATTTTCAAAATTCCTAAAATACCCCTAACTTTGCCAAAATGCCCTTAGGAGCCCAAATTTTCCCAAAACCTCCAAAATTATTTTAGGCACTCCTAAAACCATTTTTGACACTCATGAAGTCCAATTTGACCATTTTTTGACAAAAAACCCTGAGTTTACCCTAAAATCCAAATGTCACCAAACTGAACCTCATAACTCCGTAATTTTAACCCAATTGATATCCAAAACTCTTCATCACAATCCCTTAAACCAAATTGAGCCATCAATTGAGCCAAATCCAACCCCTAGCCCAATCCAAACCCAAGTCTAGCCCAAGTGGCCCAAAATTGAACATAAGTCAAAATCCACTAAATTGAACTTCAAAATCAATTCAAAATCACCCAATTCCTTTTCCAAACTTCTCATGACAATCATACACATCAATTTGGCCAATCATTTGACCAACATTTTAACCCAAGCCCAACCTATACCCAAGTTCAAACCAAAAGCCCAAATTTTAATCCAAGCCCCAAACTTGACCAAATCCATTGAAATTGACTAAGCCATGGTCATCACAGCTAGCATTGTTTTGTTTAGGTAATAATATTACTATATTCTATTTTTATTATTGCCATATTTTTGTTGTAATATTGACATGTTATTTTTGTGTTATTGTTGTATTATTATTACCTTATTGTTGTGTTATATCTATCTGATCATCGTTAAATTGGTGTGGTAATGTGCAATGTAGAAATATGTGTAATGATCCAATCACAGAGAGGTTTCTTCGCACAGTTGCACACATTGAAATGAAGCTTATGAAAGCTACTGTGTCTATGCTCTTCACGTAGGATTTTATGTTAGGAAAGACCATAGCTGTTATTGGTCAAACACTAAGAAGATTAAAACCAAAGATTTTATTTGTGGAAAGGCTGGCCAAAAGAAGGAGTCAAATCCGACAGATACTATGAAGTTCAAAAAAGCTGACACAAGGACTGGATGTTAAGTCATGGTTAGATATGACATTGATGTTGAAGAAAATTGGACAGTTAAGAAATTCATTGAAAGTCATAACCACTGTCTTGCTGAAAGTGGTGATAAGCATCTTTTGCGTTCTAGTAGAAAAATAAGTGAGTTCAATGCAGATTTGCTGAGATCGATGACATGATCAGAGATTCGAGCAACATATGCATATAACCTTATGGCCACAGAGGTTGGGGGGTGGAGAACCTTGAATGTACAAAGAGAGATGCATACAATTTTATTCAAAAAGAGAGAAAGAAAAGAAAAAAACAAGGGTATGTCTATTCTCTAATTCAGTTGTTTATAGAGAAACAAGCTAAGGATATCGTGTTTGTCTGGGATTTTGAAACTGATGAGTGTGGAAGACTCAGAAGCTTTATTTGGAGAGACAAGTTATCGAGACTTGATTATGATTGCTTTGGGGATGTGATAATATTTAATACAGGCTTTAGATTAAATAAGTACAATTTATGTTGCGCTCCTTTCGTGGAGGTGAACCACCATTGACAAAACGTCCTCTTTGGAGTAGTTTTTTTATCTGATGAGACCATTGATTCCTTTATATGATTATTCAAGGCATTTATCCAAATAATGGGTGACAAGCATACAACAACAATTTTCACGGATCAGGATCAAGCGATGGCGCAAGCCATTGAATTTTGTCTTCCACAAACACGACACAGATTATGCCAATGACATATGTAGAAGAAATTTCCTTCAAAAGTTCATTGTGATGTTAGTGTCAAAAGTGTGGGCAATCTCTTCTACAAATACATGAGCAAGTGTGATTCCGAAGAGGATTTCAAAGAAACATGAGACACAATGATTGAGAAGGGGACAAAGAGCCAGGAAGATCCCGAGCAACAAGAACTTCAACGGGCTCTTCCATATGAACAGGTAAATTCTCATTAATTCTACTCCTTTTCCTTTTCACATCTTTGGACTTACTCTTTCGATATGAATAGGTAAATTCTCTTTGATTTTGCCTTATTTTGATCACAACAAAGTTCATTTGATTAATCATGTAATCACATATGACAGCAGACCAGTTAAACGAAGAGAAAGTTTGTATGTTCTCCCCAAATGTAAAAAGTCATGCAAGGCACACCGAAATTGCTCGAGGGAAAGGATAAATTTGTTAGTAAGAACTTAAGAAATATTTTCTCAAAAGGAGTGGAAGAATCTTTTGAAAACTTAGTCACATCTTCCTTTATTGCTCTCGCATCTACACGAGATGAGGGAGTTTTCCTCCAACTAACTGATTCTCCTCTGTTAGGCATGCCTAATAACAATGCAACATGGTCGGGTTGAGTTTTATCAACTTCCCACCCATCACAAAATATCACAAAAGTTCTTCTTTCATTATTCCAAAATCCCATGATATGCAGAGTCAACACATTATCTTAGGGATAAGTAAGCATGTCAAAAAACTGACTGACATTTATTTCTCTTAAAAAATTCATGGTCTCCTCAGGTACAATGTGTCAAATAGTATCGAGTGCTCCTCTGACTACGGAAGGACGACATCTACAATTGAATGTTCTTGTGTTTATATACCTACACCAACAAACATAAGGAAGGAAATATTAGTTTATAGATAACATTCCTAATTCACATATTTTCAGATAACAAATGTGCTATAGATGTGTTACATATGTGTTATTGTTGTGTTATATGCATGTTATCGTTCAGCTATTGTTGTGTTACAGATGAGTTATTGTTGTGATACAGATGAGTTATTGTCATGATGAGTTATTGTCATGTTACAGATGAGTTATTGTCATGTTACAGATGAGTTATTGTTGTGTTATATGAGTGTTATCATCCAGTTATTGTTGTATTACTGATGAGTTATTGTTGTGTTATATGTGAGTTATTGTTGTGTTATAGATAAGTTATTGTCAAGTTACATGTGTTATATTGTTGTGTTACAGATGAGTTATTATGTATTATTGTTGTGTTATATTTGTATTATAGTTGTGTGACAGTTGTTTTATATTGTGTTATTATTGTATTATTGTAGTGATATAAAGTATTATGATTGTGTTATCATTGTGTTATTGTTATATTATTGTTGTGTTATTGTGTGTCATGCTAGTGTTATCATTGCATCATGATTGTGTTATTAACATAACATAACAATAACACACAATAACACATCTATAACACATCTATAACACAATAATATTAACATAACACAACAATAACACATAATAATACATGTATAACACATATATCACAATTATAACAACATAACATAACAATAATAGACAATAACACATATATAACATACAATAACACACAATAACACATCCATAACACATCTATAACACATTTATAACATATGCATAACACAATTATAATAACATAACACAATTATAATAACATAGCACAACAATAATACATTTATAACACATCTCTAATACATTTATAACAACATAACACAACATTAACACATCTATAACATACAATAACACACAATAACACGAATATAACAGAACTATAACACAAATATAATAAGACTATAACCTCAAAATTTTCTCTAAAATAAACATTATAGCATATTACCTCAACGACTTCGGGAGACCGCTAGCTTTTTCTTTTGAGACTGTTGTCACCTTCCATTTTGTGTGCTAATGAAAAAAAGACAAAAATGACTTGTTGTTGCCGAACAATTGAGAACTAACACTTATAATAAGTATTTCGAAACCGACTTTTCATTTACAATAGTCGAATGGAGAAGCACTACCGTCGAATAGAAACCGCCGTATGGAGAAGAGAAACCGCTGCCGGCTGAATGGAGAACGCCCGAAGCAGCCGAAGAGGTGGAAGAACTCCAAATGTGAAACGACAAAATTCCGAAGAACAAAATGACATTTTGCCTCTTTCGACGAAAATGCAGGAGAACAAAAATGAAGAAGAAACGCTCCAAAATCGTAGAAGAATAAAAATGTAGGGACGAAATCTAGCATAAAGTGACATTTTGTTTGTTTCGGC